CAGCAGAAGGGAGCCTGGCGGCGGCGGCAGCGGCATGCACCGGGCTGGGCTGGGCGTCACCCCTCCTTTCCTTCCCTCCTCTCCATCCCATCCCATCCAGTCGGCGTCCTTCCCTCCCCCTCGCCACCCCGCCGCCACGCCTCAGCGCCACGCCGCCGCTCTGGTCCGTCCACGCTGGTGCTGTGCTCGGCGCGGTTCAGCCCCAGTCCGTGCAGCGGCAGGCCAGCGGCAAGCCCAGCCAGCGCCGCGCAGCGCAGCGCCCAGTCCCGCTCCGAGCAGCCTTGCGCCTCGCCGGCCCGTCCGCCGGCACCGCGACGGACCGCGCCCTGCCGCGCCCCACGCCCCCGCCGCCCGCGACGGGCGCCCCAGACAGCCGGGTGCCTCCCGCCACTCACCCCCTTGGTCCAGTCGAGGCCGCGCGGGAGGGACGAGTAGGGGCGCAACTCGAAGGCCGATTGTTGGCGCGCTTCCTTGTCCTCGGCCGGCCGCCCTTATGGCCCCGCGGGGGGCTCCCGTGCCTTCCGCTCGGGTCGTGCGCTCGTGCGCGGCGTGCATGGCGTGCGCGCGTGGCGGTACCGGCCGTGCCGGCGGCGTGGGCTGAAGGTGCACGTGCACGCCCGTGCCTCCGCGACTCGAGTGCCATTGGATTACCTTACACCCGGCTCACTGCAGCCCCTCAGCCTCAGCTCGGGCAGGACCCGTCTCCACGGCTAGCAGCGACAAGCAGGTAAGCGTTTGCTTTATCACAATGCACTCGATCAAGAAGTGAAGAGACGTCGGGCACGGTCAAGGAAGACTTCAGCTGGGCTGTTGCGGATCATTATCTGTTTCCAGGAGTTTTTATTTTTGCAGGCAGTAGCGTGTGGTGTGATTCTGCCTGCTGCCAGTGGAGATTCCAGATTCCAGTTCTCGGCAGAAAAGCGGAGAGATTAGTGCTGATAGTGCCTGAAATCAACCCTCTCCAGCATGCATTTGCCGTGTTTGCAGGTCCGTGGGTGGTGTGGGTATTTGGAGCGGCTCTTGCAGGACGAGGGCAGCCATTGCATTTCGTAGGGGAGAGTGGGGCACCTGGAGACATTTCGCCTATTTTCACCCACTACTCAGTGAATTTTAAAGTTAGGATCGCGTTTGAGAGACGTGGTGAAAGCCCTAACTTAGAAGTAACTGGATCAGTTTTGTTTGTTGGAAAATTTTGAACGGTTTAGGTATGGTGGTGTGTTGAGTGCAGGATGCACTATGTCTCTAGGTGCCCCACCCCTGGGGCACCTGGAGACAGCCGTGGGGCACTTGGAGACAGCCATCAAATTTTACTCTAGCAACTAAAAATAGTGCAGTTTATTGCCAAAATAGCATGTCCGACCCCATCCCCTTCCTCCCCCATAACACTAAAAGAATGGCCCAGTTCTGCCTTGGTAATTACAAGTAACATTTTGTTAGGTATGCTACTCACAGTAAAGTCAACATAAAATAAAAGTAAAAATATCACCTGCTAATAGTTTTAGCACATTTAAATGTAACACCTTGTTACATACTTAAATTAAAGTCAACATAAAATTTCAAAATTTCAATTCTCAACCCCAGAAGCGCTACTGCATTAAATGCGCTTCTGGGGAATGAAAGGCCTCCCTTTACTGCTTCTATGGCTGCCTTCATGTTGCCCTCTCCAAATTCACCCCTGTCTGTCTTAGGTTTGTTGTTGCGGGCCGTTTCTGTAAACATTTTTTTTGGCATTAGTTTGTGATAATCACGTGATTTTAATAACATTCGGACATAAATTAAGGTGTCTCCAGGTGCCCCACAAAAATTGTCTCTACGTGCCCCACGAGACACATCGAAGTAATGACGCTGGGCATCACAACCCCTGTGATCTGACTCAACATGTTTTTGAGCCATTCGAAAGCTCACAAATCACAGAATCCGTTGATATTTTTATCTAATTTTTAGAACAATTCTTACTGACCAATATGAAGCTTGAAAGAAAAAATCAAACTTTTACTTTCACGTGTTTTGGGGAGACATAAAGTTTGACAGCCAAGGGCTCCACAACCGCTTCGATGACAACCACCGTGCTTTCTGAAAGTGGTTTACGGACCGTTTGCCATCTTCCTGTCAGGACGCAACGGTGCGAAAATTCAAACATTTCGAGATATCGCGACTGTCTCCAGGTGCCCCTGTCTCCAGGTGCCCCACTCTCCCCTACCCTGCAGGTCCGACTGACGGGGGTGGGGTAGGGGTGGGGGGTCCTTCATACAGGGGTTATGTGCAGCCCGCCTTATTCCATGTGGCTGCTTATGGTTGATAGGGATACCCCCAGCCACATCTCTCCCTCTACTTTGATTCCGAAGAACGCTCTCCTATACCTTCCGTAGCTCCGTCATTGTCGCACTCATACGGAAGCGCCCCTTGAGATGTCTTGGTAATCAGGCTGCACCCGCTGCACCTCACTCGAGACAGCTCGAGACCTCTCTAGTGTCCGCTCGGCCCGGCCCGGGCAGGTGGTTGCCGCGCAGTCCCCGTCCTCGCGGTGCGGGCGGTGGCGGTGGTCGCACTTGTGGCGGTTGTTGTGATCGATACTCGACGCGCGGCCGCCACCGCCCCGCCCCCGGGCTC